GAGAAATGCAACAAAAAATTCGGGCGTTTTTTCTGTGGCGGGGCACGATTTTGTTCACTCTCTTCAGAGCTTAAGAACTCACTCGATTTTTGTCGAAATTTTCTGAAATTTTGCCGGGAGGTTTGTGTATTAGGCATTAGGGGAATCGATGCTACTAAAATTTGCTGATTAAAGGTCGGGGTGGGGAGATTAACTACGACACGCGATCCCCTTTATGTCGATTTTACTGGTTATTAGCATTTACAATTTTTTTTTTATAAAACCCATCTCTACCCACAAAATTATTATAAAATGGCAAAAAGCTTAATAAAACCTTTTTATATATTAGTTAAAAATATTAAAACTTATAAAAAATTCCAGCTTACATCGGAAGTTTCTATATACAGTAGAGCGTCGATTTTCCGAAAGATTTCCAGTCGGCAAATTTAAATTTTCGCCAGTGCTGTGAAGCTTCAATCTTTGGCTATGTCTTGGGCTGCTCAAATATTTTACGTTTTTGATACTAAATTAACATCTGAAGTATAATTTTTTATTGTTTTTATATTTTTCAATAGGCCTATATTTATTTTGTTTGTACAAAATAAAAAAATTTTTTTAACGATACAATAGTCTTTGTTAGGCTTAATATCGACGCAAATTCAACGCGAAGCGACACGCAACGGAGAAAAATTTCAACATCGGATACGTTAAACTATTTTTTTGTACATAAATCGGTTATCCGAAATATCAGTTATACGAACAACCCAGTCCCCAATTGATTAGGAAAATCGACGCTCTACTGTAGTTAATCGAGGCTTCCTGCCCCTAAGGTTTCCTATCTAACTCTTATCTCGAGATTAAGGACAGACAACAGGAATTTATAGGTCTACAATTTTTTCATATTGCAACCCAAAAATTGTAAATCCCGCGAGTTTATACATTTTAGAAAGGTTGCGGCCCAAGTTTTTGTCTCTAAAACGTGAACGTCGAGCGCCGCCATCTTGTAAGCCTAGAAGTTTGACAATGGCGTTTGAAACGTCGAGCATGCCAGTAGAAGTTCGGCTTAAACGTCTGCATTTTTCTGTTTTGGGTTAAAAACACGACGTAAATGTATTTTATTAAAATGATGATTATTTAAGAATTTGTGAACAACAGTGTAAAGAAATAATAAATGAATAATTTCTGGATTAAAATCGTCTAAGTTTTTTGCAAGTAATGTGAAGTGCCTATAGAATTTTTAATCATTTGTGTTCATAATACCTTATCATAATTCTGTTGAAGTAGGTTTGTTCTTTCGTGGCATCTTCTACCATCAACAGCATAATTCGTTTGTAAAATTCTAGAAATAATTTAATTTGTTTATTTACCTTCGCTGGTAACCTTCGTCACTCTTGAATGATTCTGCCATTTTTTAACAATATCCCACGAATCACTGCGCGACGTGAATGTATGGCGCAACGTGTTTTGCTTGGAGTTCAAACGTCAAACGTGTACTTCTGCTTGCCGTACAAGTTTAAAGTTTGAACTTCGGCCGCAACTTCTCTTTTGTCTATTCGCATTTTTCATCGGATGCTCGCCCTGTAGTGTCTAAAAACAATACTTTATCCATGTCGTTTGAATCATTCTTGTGTATTGTCGGCTATAAAGACGAATTGAAAAAGCAAAGCTTTCTATTGCGCTCTATATTGTAATTGCAAAGCCATAGGGATCCCGATGTAAATCTTATCTATTCCCACATAAAAAACAACCGATTATTCGGAAATCAGAATTAGAAGCTCTTCCACGTAACCGATCGAGTTGATTCGACTTAAGAATTGGTAAAGAAGTTTCTCGATTGTCTGGCTTTATATCAGTGGTTCCCAAAGTAGGCGCTACCGCCCCCTTGTGGGAGGGGAGTAAATTAAGGGGGCGGCAAGGGGCGCAGTAGACAGAGTACCGAACGGAGACTATAGGCCCCTCGAAACTCCAGACCGTACGCTACAGCTTCTGTACTGTAGCTAACTTGTAAATTCTGCCCTAGTGGGACAATGTCAAAGCTCATGCTTTTTTTTAAACACAAATAGGAATAGAACGATCTCGCTCACTTGTTTCGATAATACGACATAAAATGGCATAAACGCTAGCAATAATTGTTCTATAAAATTTCTCGATAAACAGCTACAAGCAGCATATATCGTTATATTTGACAATATATAATTAATTTTACCTTGACTAGTTACAATAAGCAGACAATAAAGTTAATGTATTAGCTACGAAAAAAATATACCGGTGATGTAAACAATAAGAAACCGGAGTAGCCACATCGAAGGCCGACTGTTTACCGTGGCTTATGACGATTCCGCGTCATATTGCCAATGATAATGGGACCAGGCACGCCGCCTCCAAACCACGCGGTTTTCCACGTAAGGTTCCACCAAAGTTCATTCGTAAGTCGCCGAGATTTTTTAACTGGTTTCTGGAAAATGTTTCGAAAGCGCCCTGTTATATTTCTGTTTTGTTTGGTTATGGCAACAAACACTTGGGCGATCTGCCTAGGGGAATGCTTCCGGGAGGTCTTTTTAGGGGAAACTGGCCCCCATTTAAGCGTTACAGACGTGGAGAAAACACGGAAAACTCCACGTGGCCAGTCCGTCCGAGCGAGGCGCGAACTCCGATCGAACTCCCAGTGTTCAGGGTACGAAGGCCGCTTTGGCCACCGGTGGACTAGTTATATTTCAATCGAAACTTTTTATACTTTTAATTATTATAAAATGGCAAAAGGCTTAATTTCGAGGGTAGGGACGAGTTTCATAAATAACTGTAAATGCTAATAAGTAAAATAGTCATTAAGTCCCAACATTCCACTCGACCCGCCTTATTTCCCCACCCCGACCTTTAACCACCGAAATTTACAATCATCGATCCAACAATTAATACACAAATCATCCTGCAAAATTTTAGAAATTTTCAACATCAAGCATAGACGAAGGTGAATAAAAATCTCGCCTCCCCTCCGAATTTTTTGCATTTCTGGACGTTTCGAGGACCAGAGTCCAAAAATGTTATCTTCGGGGGTCACTTTTTGATCGATGCCATACTTTAAGTTAAAATAAATATCCAACGTCTTGGTCGAATCGTGTATTGTAACTTAAGAATAATTTTTCCCAAATTTTTAGGGGAAAAATATGGGAGAAAAACTCCAACGCATCATTCTATTTTTGCGCAATCGGTACGCGGCTGGTTAACGTCATTTTGAAATTAGCCAACGGGAAGCCGAAGGAGTAATTACACGAACAATCGTCTGGCGATAATCGATGCCGAAGTTACTCTCGATCTCGACTATTTAATCGAAAATTACCAGGTTTTCCAAGATGGCGACGGAGTTAGCTGGAAGAATGCGGTAGGTAAAGGTTAAAAGACGAAGGAGACTACAGATCGGAACCATCGACGGATCTAGTTTCACTGGAAAAATCGGGAACGAATCGAAAACAGCCAACGGAGTGCCCGCGCGCTGAACCGAGCGGCACGGTACTAGAGACATTCGGGATTCAAATATCGAGTACGGGCTACGGGAAATTTCCACCACTCGTTTACTTCCGGAATGCCGAAAACTCCTTCCGACTATGTAATTCCTTAAATTATCTGACGAGTTTAACTTTTCTGGCCGTTATCGTATTTAAAAATAACTTTTATATTATTAACCACAAAAATACTCGCGCGTGATGCCGTTTCTTACGTAAATTTTGCTATAAATGCCTTTATATTTTTAACTATAACAAACTGGCAAAAGATCCCGAGATATTAAACGAAATAGGCACGGAGTTTTAGGCCTTTTTCTGTGTTGGGGTGGTCCGAAAACGTGGAATTTTGAGAAAATTGGGAAGGACAAATTTGATACCCTTCCGACTTTCTCTGGTGACGACCGGGAAACTAAAACAGCACGGAAGTCGAATTTCTGTCCGAAGTATAAACGTTTAAGTATTTATTTTCGGAACCGAAACTTGTGTTAAATTCGTTCCGTGTATCATTTTAACACGGTTAGGCTTAGATAGTCTGCGTTACGACTTCCAAAAGTAGTTAAATACTTTAAGAGGAATTAGGAAAATAAGTCGGTTAGCGGGCCAATTACGGAATACGACCTACGCCACGTAATTTTTATGCAGCGTACTCGGTATCCGGGAGAATTGGCAAAAAAAAACAATTTGGGCCAAAAAACTTCATTTATGCTCTAAATACGTTACTATCCGATTTAAATATTAACGTCGAGTGCACGTACTTACCATATAAAGTATTCGGAACGGCCCAATCGTAATTCGCCCACGAAAGTATTCGATGTTCCTAATTCCCACCGTTCGAAAGTATTTTTGCGGCTGTGTTCCTTTACGCAGCGCCGCTCGATGGCTACACGGCACTTTCTAAACGCTTGCCGCAAGGGGGCTGCTGCAAAAATAAAGCGACTTTTACGCGTAAAGCGAAATGGACACTCGTGTGTATAATACGATATGCCGCGAAAGTAAAAAAGTCGAAGCGATGTCGATAAAAATGTTAACATTAGCGCAGAGCCCAAACGTTTAGGACTCGAAAGTTGGTACACGGGGTACGTCACGAGAATGTACATCAAGAAGAGATTTTTCGAAATTCCCCGCGGGGAGAGAGATATCTCTTTGGACCGCGTGCGTTTAGATTGTAAGGTATTACAGCAGCGGAAAGACGACGAAACCGCAATTTTTAGCTTACCCTTTCCGTATCCGGTCTCTGGCCACCCGGGTTTCCAACCCGCCGACGCGGACGATTTAATTAAGAAGGTAATGCGGAAGGTTCGGAGTTTACCGGCGAAGACGCACCACGATTTACATCGGTATTTGTATACCACCACGGCTGATGTTTTCTTTCCCGATCCTCCGTAACGAGGCCTACTCTAATCTCGTCTTGGGAACGGCGGCCCGACCCCGGCGAATTGTCGAATTTCGATACCGATAACCGAAAGATGGCCACTACGTAGAAGTGGAATTGGTGGACGGAAGGGAAGGAAAGGACGAAGGTTAACGGTAATTTCTTTTAATTTGTCTACTATTTGGTGACGAGTTACATCTTCGTGGAATCTACTTCCATAACCCAGTTTTTGTTCTCTACAGTTTCTGTTTCGGGTGGATGCGAAACGGCGTCTCCGTCGCCAACTCTTCTGCCGGTCCCCGGATTCCCGGCGTCTGCCGGCCCTCCGGAGAGCGGTGCGGCTTTATACATTATATATAGAATTATTCGAATTTCTACAACTGCGCTTTGTGGTCGACTTCCGAAGAAAACTTAAAAAAATTCGGTGTTAGCCAACGAACGGGTTACGACAGCGACGGAAACAACGGAAATGATTAGAAAAAACGTTAACAAATAAATAAGATGCGTACGAAACGAGTCGTCGTCTTCCCAAAAGTTAAAAAGTGCGTCCGGAATCCAGTTAACTTCTTTGGACCCGACCGGAGCCACGAAAAAAACCTGGACAATTCCATTTTCTAGAACTTTTTTTTTTCGTAAGAGTGAATATTTAGCAAAACATGACGTTCGAAGCCGAAAAACGGTAATACTGCCGAGAAGGAATGCGCACGAGTTACAAAGCCCAATTGAACAATTCGTCCCCGCTATGGACAGCTTTTTTTTGTAAATTCTTTAAATTTTTTACATACTACGGTTTTAAATTAAATTGTCTGTTCCGTCTCCATTTTGTCTTGGCCCTCCGGTTGCTGCCGCTGGCAACCCGCTTCCGATCCGTTCTGTTGGCCGGCCGTCTGCTGCGCGTTCTGTCCCTCCTTCGCCTCCTTTTCCGGCGGCGGCTCCATTTTGGGTTTCGGTGTGTTCAGGATGGGTTTGACGGTGTTCTCGAAAATCTGCAAGACAAAATCTCGGCGTCAAAGGCGTCGCCTCCTATCGACTTTTATTTTCCTCGAAAATGTTCGAGTGAGAATTTAACAAATAACCATAGAAAAAGTACCGCCTCTAAGATTAAAATTAATTTTCGAATTTAAACGCCAGTAATCCTTTCGAATATAATTATACAAGACAAATGTTTTTACCTCCTTTTCTTGCCAAAATTGAGAAACTATAACCGGTGGAGTCTGATGTAACGGCAGTTGCGATAGGCAGTTCACTTGCTGATCCAGCCATTTCTGTTTCTCCTCGATGGCTTTTTGAACCTGTCGTTTACAAATTTGTTTTAAAATAAAAATTGGTCCTTGACGTTTCGCGTAAAAGTGAAAAACTTATTACCTTTTCCATGTCTTTGCTATCGATGTGACTGTACTGTTCGTCTTTGGCCGCGTGCATGGCCACCACCTTCCTGGCTCTTTGTAGAGACCTTCCGAATTCTTCGATGGCCAGAGGCCTTTCTTCGTATTCTCTACATCTAAAGACGACCGGATCTCCGTGTTTCTAAGAAAATAAAAAGTTTTAAATTCCCGTCGATTTGCAACTTGGGAGAAAAACCCAGCTTTGGGAGTTAATACTTACTTTTAGTTCGGATAATTTTTCCACGTAGACGCTCTTCTGTTGTTCCTCGCCTTCTTCGTACAGCCAGTTCTCGGTGTTCTCTAGTAAGTTCATGAATATCTCCCTGTCCTGAAAGGGAAAAGGATTGGAACGTGTTCCGGAAACAAACACATGGAAACAAATTATAATTACTTACTTGATCTGAAATAAATCTGCTAAGCCTGTCGGAAAGTTGACCCCTGACGTCGTAGACGTATTCCTCCACGGCATTTTTAGCATCCGCTCTCTCCTTTTCCATTTTGTCTTGCATGATCATTTTTAACTAATAATGCGATACCGAGCTTAAGTTCATTTATAGTTTAAAATTTTATGAGTAACAAAATGCAACACACCTCTTTCTCTACCAGATAATTTAGTTCGGTGGTCGAAAGCTGAGGTACTTTTGCGTCTATTGGAAGATCTATCGATTTCACTTTCTTTGATTTCTTCTGTAAGGCATTTTCTTTATCTTCGTCCTGTAAGTATATTGCAACGTGCTACTATACTAAATATCTTATTATTTCATGAAAACTGAAGACACGGAGCTTTTAAATTCTATTTCAAAACCTAGTTCAAAATTCTAACGTATTGACAAACTACTTCAGCCAAATATAAAAAGTAATAATCTGAATTAAGTAAGTTGCATTCAATTTTTAAGCACTTACAAAATTTGTAGCAATTTTTCACTTTCACCAATAACTTAGCTTTAAATTCATTATTAAGAACTTGAATTTATTTGGATTCATTTCGGAATTTAAACGCCAGTAATTACAAAACTTTTCTTGCCAAAATTGAGAAACCAAACCCAGGGAGAGTCTGATGTAACCAGTTGCCTGCATTAAAACTTAGTTTTAATGCAAGTAACTGATTGAATGTTGAATGACAAAAAATTTAACAGACGTCTGGATCAAAATCAATGATATTACCAACCCTTAAGCATTAATTTAATCCTAATACTGCTTATTTTAGTTATTTCTATTCTCAATACATCCATAAAACTGATTTTTATTAAAATTATGCTTAAAAATTTAGAATATAGAATTTTTGACGTTGATTATCTGGAGCCACTTAGACTAAGTTTGGAGGAGCATCCAATTACATTAAAGTGTTAAGGTATGGAAAATCACAAACTGAAGCAAACGTTCGAGATTTAGTGGTAAATTTGTCTGTAAAAATGGTTATTGCAATGATTCAATTATTACCGTTAACTCAGACTACAATTAAAACTATGAAAGAATAAAAATATCTTATAAAATTGCAAACTGGAAAAGTGCTTCTCTGCACCAAATGAAAATAATAGATGGTAAAATGCATATCATATTCAAAACACTTTTTTCTAATGTTGGTTGTGATTCTTATTGGTAGTTAAACGAGATAATTGGCCAATTATTTTTGTAATTATTTACTATCAATTAACATTTTCCTTATATGATAAAACTTGTCAAAAATGGAAATCTACCTTAATGGAATAAAAATTCTTTGAAAATGCGATTTTATATCTTAAATTTTACTGTAAGCTGAAAACTTTTCAGACGTGAAAACTGGAGAAATTTTTGGATACAAAGAATATAACGAAAATAGTGAAAACACAAGATTCCACCTGTAGACAAACAAGTGAAAATTGCCTCTAGGTATGACAATTACTGTAGAATACAGCAAACTATTTTGAGTTATTTCAAACTTTGTCAGAGAAACAAAGGTCACGTATCATGAGAACACAGACAGTCTTTGTTATAACTAACTGGGGACAGAATTGAATGCTTTTAAGAGTAAACAAATTTGAGAGTCAAACTCTAAATTAAACAATGAGATAATTTATTGAAAACTGAAAATAAGATAAAACATGTTGCTATTTTTCTTCTAATTGACTAGAACAGTTACTAACTAACTAGTATCAAATATGCAAGAACAAATCCATTAACACTGTTGATAATCAGAGAGACTGAAGTTAATTTAATGATTAATTAGACTACTAACATTTTTCAAGAAGTCACATCACAAAATTTCAATAGACCTTTTCTTGCAGGCTATTAGAGTACAGTGTCTCTGTTGGAAAAAACTTCCACCAGAACAGATAGGATTTTACTAATGTAAATGTGATTATCCTCTCTACAATATAATAGACTCTACAACAATTATGCTAGATATCATTAAGATAATATTTCATCAAGTGGAAACATGTTTTGATAGTTCACAAGATTCTTGTAATCAAATACATATAAAATATTTCTATCACATTGGCTGTATCAATTTACAATTCAAAGTATAGTACACTAGATAATAGTTTGTTTTCTTACTTAGCATTTATCTAAAATTTACAATTTAAAAACTGTTTTACTAGAAAAAAGCTTTTCTATTCTCAATGAACAAATTAACACTTACTCTGCTACGAATGTAATATTACGTTTCGTGAAAACTTTGGTAAAATGCGAAAAACATAATATTACATTGTTCTATATATCAAGTTATTTCTAGCTCTAAAACGTAGCATTATGTTTTCGGCAGTGAAAATATGATTTCTTTGTATATTTTAGTGTGTCTGTTAATAAATAGTGGGCACTATTTATTCAGAAATTTGAAATTTAAGCGATTTTGAACAACCACGATCGTCGCCTGATTCGAAGTTTCTTTGCCCATTTTGCAAGCGAGTACCGAGTCATTTTATTTATTATATATGAGTTAAGTTTAGATATGGTGCATTAACGCACTAAGAATAGTTTGAATTCATTAATAAAAGAATCAACAAATATAGTGCCGATTATATTGATTTATCTAATGAAAATGTCGCGATTATAATTTAGGCCTAACTGAGATAAAAAAAAAAAAAAAAATAGAAATAAGCCATGTAATTTCGATATTATTTTAAACCTGTATAGTTTATATGATATTACATAATTTATATACTTTTTAGATATCATCAATACAAAAGTCAAATTCCAAAATTTCTGATAGTGCTAATGCCATCTTACGTACCATACATTTGCTGAATCGACTCAATTATGAAAAACAGCTACGGTCAGATATAAGTCTACTAATAATATTGATACAATACATTATTATTTTGAATAAATTCATCGATGTACTACATATTTCATGCATAAAAATACAAATTTTATAGCTATATTGCAGTTTTTAATTTTTTTTTATTGTATTTTTTATCTCTAAAACATGTCAGAATAACATTAAAGTAAAATACATAAAAACAAAGCGCACACTCATCAAAACTGCACAATGTACAGATAAATGTTCATAATATCAGACACTCTTTTTACTTTTTACCTAGCTTTAGTCAATCGTTTTTTAGTTTTATAAGAAAATATTGTAAAATTGCTGAAATCAGTCAGCAGACAGGTAAGGAACTAGGTCAACTGGACCAGCAGGGTAAGTGTTAAATAAAATACCACTAAATTGGTTTAGTATACAAATATTCACGATATCTCTCTCTTCTTTTTTAGTTTACGGAAAAAATAAAGTAGTTTAATTTTCTCTACTTTTTATCCAACAAATCTTTGTGCTGTTAACCACTCCGCAGTGATCTATGGATATACTCGTCAAGGGCGATCAAGTGGCACTGGAGAATGACGTCTATATCCGAAAAATTTTGCAGATATTGCCAAAAAGTAGCCAAAAATTATCGTGAAAAAAATTCACAAAGGAATTATGTGACAATAAAGAAAGATTTTTTGTTACTAAACGTAACTGTTTAAAAAATTTTTCCCCGAAACAAAAACAACGTGTGAAAAAATTCTTTAAAAATTTTCCACATTTATTCTCCACTACATTGTGATAATGCCGTATCTGACTAGCCCTATCTACAAAGGTTAAACATTTGCTTTATCAATCTCAAGTAAGCATTTTAAAATTGTGTTGAACTATTCACGTAGTTGATGGTTTATTCAAATCAAGCATTTTCCAAAGCTATATATTCATCAATCTTTAAAAACATACTCAAGAGCACTTTGTTCAAACTTGTCGTTCTTTAAGAAGTTAAAATCCTGATATGTGTAATTTCAAAAATGTTTAAATAACCACTAAAAGCCTTTAAAAACTTTTTGTCATAACAAATAGAAATTAACAAAGGTTTGCTGACATTTTCAGTCATTGAATATTTTGATTAATAAATTAGTCAAAAATTTGAATAAAAATTTATGCAGAATATTGGAAAATATGCTTCCAAATTATTCTTCCTAATTTTTTAAAACCAGTTAATAATTTCTCTGCCTTTTTATTCTAAGTTTATTAAAAGCATGTAAGTTATACTCTCAAAAGCATTTTACAAATATGATATGGATTTGATTAATGTTTCACAGTGCAACTTGCTATCATGTTTTAAACAGTACTAGAAGCAAATGTGCATCTGATTTGTTCTGTGTTTGCTGTTATTCACAATCAAAAACAAAGAACACATTCTCTCCTTTTCCATTCTCACAAAATATATGTCAACAATATGTTCACAGATTAAGGTGTAAACCTAATGCCATAGAAAGTTTGGATATGAATCTGATACGGACCACCCGAACAATCATAGTAGGGTCCCGAGTATTGTTATACATACCTCATCCACATTGGCCAAACTTATTACAGACTGGGCCCATCTGTAATGGTTTGGCCAGTGTGGATGAAAATTGTGATTGGTAATATAGCCTTAATGTGCCGATGCCTTGCTTTTATTTATGAATTAACACAAAATCAAACATACCTTGTCACCTTTTTCGTTACATGGTTGTTGATTTGTATTTTCACTTTCCGGACTGGCCTAAGAAAAATATTAACTTGTTATTTTATGCAAATTTAAATTCTTCAAACAAAAGATAAAAATAATCACATTTTGATTTGGAACTTGGTCCACGTGATTTACTTCTGGTTCGGAAGCATCGGCAGTGTTCGTAGACTGCTTTACGGCATCGTCGACCTCCATGGCTTCGTCAGGTTTTTGTTTGACACAATTCTGATTTAATTGATTCTTATCGTTCTGCTCATTTTCTTCAATTTTCTCTATCTTTTCTAACATGGAGGCAGAGAAAACAGAAAATATTCCATGCAAATTAACTCTAACCTTCACTTTGACCTTTGTGCTTTCTCCTTCAGACGTCGGAGAGATATTCTTTATGGTGAAATAACCTAAGAAACATTAAATGGATTTCTTCAGGATTAAGTAAGACAAGAGGCACCAAGTTCAAAAAAAGACTTACCAATGTGTCTTTCGGGAAACGGAATGCTTGCATTATCCAAATATCGTGCTTCAAGAGTAAATGGTTCCTTACGGTAGAAGGTTAGTAATTTTACAAATGGAACTTGATGAAAACGAGGAAATACTTCCATTTCTCTGCAATAAGATTCATTATAACAGACATAACAGAAAGAGTAAGAAATTAACTTAATTAGAACTATAGTAATTACCCTTCTTCGCCTTTATCAGCAGACCAAAGTAGTTTTATTGCGTAAGGCTGCACGTCAGCAATAGCAAAATCCCTTACTTTGAAAGTGGGAGATAGCATGGCACACTGAAAATACAAACACAAATTTCATAATATTCAGTGGTTAACAGAAATAGGAAAGAAAAATTTTTTAAACTTTCAGTTATAATTTGTATATGGACAAATTATGTATAAAATTTTCCACAAGCCAACAATTCTAGTTTTATCATAAATGTTAACTTAAAATTACTGGGGGGGGAACTGAAAACATCTAAAAGAACCATTCTGTTAAAATTATTTCAAATGTGATAATTTTTTAAAATCTTATTTTAAAACCTTTTATTTGAATATCATGTTTAAAAATGCAAATAGTTCTATGATAAATAGTACAAAACTATAGTGTAAAACTTATCACACAAACATACTTGATTTGTACAATGGAGTGGATAGCATTTCAGGCTATTTACCCCTCTTCAGTCCTTTTTTGTACAATTGTTAATACAGTCGACCCCCTATAATGCAGTAGATACGTTCTGCTTTATAAGAATTTCGCGTTGTAGGAATCCTTAAATACATGAGCCAATCACAGCCCAACACGTGTGAAGTTTACGGACTACGGCTGTTTGAAAGGTTTTCTTCCATAAAATTAATTGGTTCTAGACTAATTTGACTCAACATTTCCAAAACATAATTTTTTGGGAATAATCCATATAAACTATGCTATAAACAAAGAAAATTGTAGGATTACTTACCGAGCGTGCACCGTTCGACGACGCCATTGCTTAAGCTTGTTTTCGTCACGGAGCAGCGCATCGAATGGCGGGCGTAAGTTTCCTGATAAGTTATTTTTCTGCGAAAAATTTGCTGAACTTCGGAGACATCATTAATATAAATATAATTTTTATGGCCGTTAAATAATAAGTGGTTTTTAGTAGGTCCGCTGCTCGTTTAAACTGAATGGTTTGTGCAATATCTGCTATTGGTCTAGACTTAACCAATCCTGTCGCAACACGAGTCGGTGATGACTTTTTACTGTATTTTACGAGTCTTTTAGCTTGTTTATATGAATATGGTCACAATTTTTTCGCCATTATATACGAATCTGCATTATATGAACCTGTTTTATAGGGGGTCTACTGTATTGAAATATTTACAAAATGGTATTTTAGTTGGTTTTATTTTTTTTTATGGTTTGTGTTTTTTCTAATTTCTTAGCAAGTTTTAAATTTTTAACTTTTACAGTTTTATCGCTTTCACTTGGCGTTTTAAAAAAATACATTGCTATTCCAGTAGTCACATGTAAACATTTCAGTATTTATAACTGTACAAAAAAAAAAGGAGTAAAGATGGGCAAATAGCCCAAAATGCATATCCATGCAACTGTACAACAGTATTTCAGTCATCGGGTTCTACATACCAATTTTGTGCTTTTTCCCCAAAGAAAATAGAAAGAACAGGAAGCAATCAAGTAGTACAGAACGATTTCAGTGAGTTTAGAGTATAAATTCTGTACATCAAATTCAATCTTAGTGCCCAAGAAGGGAAACTGGATAATTTTAAATTTATCATTTCTCTGTACCTTATAAATTATACTTACTAAATTAAAATGAATTTTTTATCCTATAACTTAAATTTATTATATATAATTTTCAGCCTATATAAATTTCATTTATTTGAAATGTTTCTTTTACAAAATTAAAAGAATTCTTATAGAATTCATTATATAATTACCTGCAATGCACAACCCCGAGCAACAGCTTCATCTTGATTTAATGTAGTTCTTGGTTCGATACCAAACACCAACTGAACCAATCTCTTGATTGCAGGAATTCTTGTAGAACCGCCAACAATTTCCACAGCTTCAATATCATTTTTTTCTAATCCTTTAGTAAGAAAACACAATTTTTAAAAAATCGTATAAAAATAAAACTTACGTAATTAAATTATTCAAAGCTTACTCGTTTCCATCAGAATATTTCTCATTGCAACTTCAACTCTATTTAATAAATCAGCACAGATCTCTTCCAATTTGTTTCTGAAAAGAAGAAAAAAAAAAACACTAACTAAATACTGAACATTTTATTTAAATTAAAAATTATATAAATACACACCTGCCCATTTTACCCATTACATCTTTATCCTCCATGAAACATTCAATATTAAGTGGCAATTCATTGGGATTTGCACTAAGCTGTTTTTTCAGTTTTTCACTTTCCGTCAACAGCCGAATAACAGCTCTGCGGTTGGAGAGAACATCCAATCTATACTTTGTCCGGAATTCTTCGGAAAAATAACGCACTATGGCATTGTCAAAATCTCTACCGCCAACATTTGTATCCGATATACAAGCTAAGACCTATAAATTTTACACACACAATTTTATGATGTATTAATATATATTGACTATAAAAATCAAATTAAACATACATACCTTTAATTTCCCTTTACTGAATGCACAAGCAGAAATCTGAAGTGCCGAATGACCCATATCTACAAATATGATATTTTTTGGTTTATCTTCTGGAAGATCTTGCTTATAAAAACCATATGTCAATGCCACTGTAAATTTCAAAGCGTTACATTGAGTTTATTCCTCCAAAAGGATTTTGATTTGCAATTAAAAGTTAACTTACCAGCCGATGTTTCATTCATCAACCTAAGTACATTCAATCCAGCAATCTGACATGCATCTAACAAGGCTCTTCTTTCAACATCAGTGAAAAATGAAGGAACCTGTAAAAAATTTACAATTAAAGTAATTCTAACAAAGAAACAAGCTGTAGCTAAAATTCTTTTCCAACAAAATTTTTAAAATATTTGCATCATTCTTTATAATTTTCCACTGAGATCTTTACTCTCAGAACATCCAATTGAGAAAACTTAAATAATTTAACAGAACCTGCAGCTGTATATCATATATCATAGAATCTCTATATATCAAGGAGGAAATTTGACTCTGAATAAAGAGAATTTAAAAAACATCTACAAATACATCTAATAGGAAATTATTAGAAAACACATTACTGCACCATTAGACCAAGTGCATTTTTCCAATTGACTATATTTAATTGTCAAAATCAGATTAACATCTAATTAAAAAATAATAATAGTCACAATAGCAAAATAAGTTCAAAAATAAAAAAAATACAAGTGACTAACAATTTATTTTCTTCCAACAATTTCAAAACAGTAAACATCAGCAAACAAAGCAAATCAATTCGTTCAAGAAAACATTTCTGTTATTATTGACAAGTAAGACATTTGCAAACACAATTATCAAAATAAACAGTGTAGATATTATATCAAACAATATAGCACTTCCAATTGTTATGAGAAGTATTAAAAAAGCAAACACACACTAAAAATTAAATTTGTATATTTTCTTTCAAGTTATGAATTCATACTGAATGCTACTGTAAATCTATTTGTAAAATAAACATATCAAAATATTTTGGTGTTTATGAAACAATGTTACATATCTGAAAATCTAAGACCAATAATATTAAACTGAGTTGATGGATTATATAGTATGATACAGATCATACAAACAAACATCAATCCAGCCATCCTAGCAAAAACAGATTGCACGTAATCAAGAGTAAAAAAGCAGAACAATCAACCAACTTAAATCACATTAGCTACAGTTCCAAAAGGATTATATAATTTTGGGCTAATGAGTGTAGGAATGTTAGATTGTGTGTGTATTTTAAGATAAAATTTGAAATACATGTTTATTCTTAAACTTTTAAGGTAAATTTATCTAGACCGAGTGTTTACAGAAAGAACAGTACAAATATAGTGTATTAAAAAAAAAAAATAGAAAAAAACATTTCCTTACAGAAATAACACAATCGTTGACTTTTATTTTCAATGCTGCCTCTGCTATTTCTTTCAGTTTGGTGAAAAGCATTGCAGTTATCTGTTGAACCGTAAAGGTTGTGTCCTCTTGTAAATATTTAACCTGCAACAAAAAACAACCATTAATTTAACTAATATAATAAACATCAAGATTTTATTATAATTTATTAATTAAATACAAAAAACATTTCAAGTTTTAGAATTATTAGACTTAAAAAAAATTTTAGTTTTTATTAAACAATTTAGTGTTTCTAATGTTATACAGAAGTTCTGTGGATTTAAAGTAACAACAAAACTACATTATAAAGGTCACTATTGCAAAATTAAGTCAGAATATTTCAACAAACTTTGAAAAATAAAAACATAATACAGGTAACCACGTATAACATGGCACTTGTATAGCACGGATTCACTCTAACATGGTTCGGGAATTGGGTAAAACCCTCGTACAATATGAAATGTAATAAAGGATGCGTTCTTTTATACCTCCGCGTGAGCATTCTAATTGTTTTCGTGGCTACTTTGAATGATCTTCTAACAAATAATCCATTTAATACTTAAATTTTACAATTGGAACACTTCTTTTACCTCTAAAAGCTCATTTTAGAATTATAGATTCCTCCATCACGATACTATCGATAGTGCAAGTGCCGCCATCTTTCTTTCACCGTTGTTCCTAAGTGCCTACAAGCAGCAGCGCACTCCCGTTGCAGAGCGATTGCTATTAACAAACACACCCAAAAACTTACCAGTTGATGATGCTCATGCTGAGATCATCATATAGGATGAATAATCCTCTAGTAAAATATTTACTTAAATAATAAATAAGTATTTTACCTATGAAAAAAAAATGAATAATAAATCTGATTTAAATAAGGATTTAACAGCATGTTTTTTAATTTGAAACCTAACCCCCCCTTTTCGCACTAGTTCTTTGTTTTGTATAACACAGATTCGCATAACATGGCAATTTTTTTTGGAACGTAGCTCCGTGTTATACGGGGGTTACCTGTAGTTTTAAAAAATAATTGCTTACTTAAGTTATAAAACAATTTATACTTAATTAATGTATTTTACATAATTTATATGTTTTAGTGAAACTAAAAATTGTTTATGTAATTTATCTTTCTATATTCAACACCAGAGACCACATTAAGTAAAAGCTTATTAAAAATCATTGTTTGTTTCAAAACCATACAAAAAACTTCACTCTTAGAGTTTTAAATATTTTTAGCTATTGTTTGCATGATTTACAAAAATACATATATAAAATTCATACTAATACAAATGCCACCAGATTAAACAATGTTTTTAATATGCTGGATTGCAGATTCAAGTAACATTTTAGTTAAAAATATTTGTCTAATTTTAACAAAAATTATTGTAGAGACAGCCACAGCCACTTATGCATTACATATTCAACATGCATACCCTCATAATCCAAAAATAATATAGACTGAGCAGCAGACAAAAGAAGACTACAAACTGTCCATTCAGCAAATTTCTCCACATCTTCATATCCAGACATCTTTACTTCAGACACTCGTGCCTATTCTAGCACACTTCCTCAAAATTCTCTTTGAACACCTTATATTCTTTCAGATACTCATCCACTCGTTCCAACAAGACTTTCTTCGCCTTCCCCTATCACACTTCCCCTGTATACTCTCTCTTCACATTTCTTTTATTCTCTCAATGTGGTCTAACCATCGTAGAACAATTTTTCCACTTTTCAACCACACTCCTCTGGAACTTACTCATTTCTGATAGTCTCTCCTCGTCATACACACACTCTTCTCAAATACCTATCTCATATGCAGTAATGCTGTAAAGTACTTATGGATTTTTATATGACACGGAACTATGTGGCAGAAAGGTGTTTGGGACTATCACCGAACTTTATGACTTAACCTAACTGGTACTTAAGGCAGGTTCACGGTTAGTATGCCAGGCCTGGGCTTATGCATGCACCATAAATAACTATGTACAAAGTCAGTATGAACAAGGAATCTTAGAAACTATAATCCTATCCGTCACCTCAATAATAGGAACTTTTTTTCCTTCATCCTATTTCCTTCTAATCACTATTCTGACTTGCTTCCAATCTCACTCTGGAACTAACCTCGATCTTTCTCTGGAATTCACCTCACTCTATCCCTGTCTGGGGATCACCTTGCTTGTCTTCTCTGCTTGTGCTTGTTTTATACTCTGAGGTAATGTCACAATTATCTCTGGAACCACTCCCATCATTTAAATACTTTTAACAATAAATTTGCATGTCATTTCCTGGGCAGCCTAGTTTCCAACATTAAATCCTTTTACAATTATTCTTTTACATTATTCTTTTTATTACATATTTGGGATACTTATTTTATCAAGGTTTAGCAAGTTCTTTACTTTGTGCGTGTGGGGTGTTTCCCCCTTCTTTCTGTGAAACTTCTTTCAAACTTCCGCCGGGAGCACAAGTGTGCCTTAGTTTCCCTACAGCGCTTTGTCTAGTCAGTGAGTTTGTTTTTCCTTCATCTCTTTTTCTTTTTCGTTACTAAGGTGAGTGGTGAGGGAACCTTCATCCTAACTAAGCATAAACCCCAAACAAAATAGAATAAAAAGCAAAATAAAAATTAAATAATAATACAGCTCAAATTCAGTTCCTTACACCGCTACTATTGGCACTCTTCTGCCACACCCAAGTTTCACTACCATACATAAACACTGAAGCAACAACACACCCCCATATAGTCATTTGTACACATTTGGACATCTTTTTATCCCATGCAAATTTGCTCATTGCACCCATCACCTATGCTCCAGCATTCACCTTCTGGTGATTTCACCATCTATCCTTTCATTCCTATCTATCAAGCTTCCCAAATATACAATCTCATTTGCTTGTTCCAGTTGTTCACTACCCAACTCAATCATATAATCTGTGTGTTTGAATGCAGAGATAAGATTAATCATTTCAGTTTTACTCACTATCCAGCATGTATTCCTTACATGCCTCTTCAAGATTAGACACAAGTGTCTAGAGCAAACATGCAAAATCAACAAAATCAAACTTTTATATTTTTATTTCATACTCCAGTGATTACTAGAAACCGGTGCCAATCTACTCCAATTGTATTACTGTACGACAAATTTTTTTTATTAATAGCAATGGATTTAAATAATAATCAGTATAGTTATTTAAATCCATTGCATTTAAAAAAAAATAAAATTTGCTTTATATTCAAAAATGAAGGCGAGATTTGAAAACAAAATTGACCTCAATTTTCAGGTTTACAAAAACAAATTAGTCTTCATTTGAAAAGTTGATTTCAATATTTCTACTTAAAAACATCCTTAGTAAATATTTACTCAAGCTGTTACAGATGGAGTGAATGAAATTTAAATAACAATTTTAGTTTAAAATCTGATTTTCTAAAATTATTTCAGTAATACTGTTAAAAATAATTTCAATTATTCTTCTGAAAATCTTTGTTAATTAATGAAAACAAAACTACAATTCTCAGTAAATTTACCTATGAAAACATAGCTAAGCATACTTGGTAATTATATTTTTTTAAGTTTGAAAGCAAAAACAATCTGATGAATTGTTTTTATAAATTTATATGAAACAGTCCAGGATTGACTATTTAAATGAAAATTCTAAACATGCATTTTAATAACCAAACTATTTTATAATTATTATTCAGACTATATATTCTGTAATGGTTTATTTACTAATTTAATGCATGTACAGTGTTGTAGGTAACTTTGGAAAAAAAAAAATGCTACTTCTTAACAGACAGACAAATAAAGCAAGTAAAATATATTTTAAGTTTTTAAATAATTCTAATTTTTAATAATATACAAACAACCTGATAATTAAATTAATTATTCAACAAATGGCCTATTCTTGTCGGGCTACATTAAGGCAAATTATGGAATTAATAAATTTGGATAAAGGTGGGCAATTAAACCATAGTCTTGTGACCAGTATGGTTATACCTAAATTGACTAACTGGTCTGAAAATGAAGATTGGATGGAGATCTGACTGGGTAGTATAATTTGTAAGTCATCCGCACATTAAGCTTAAGTTGCAAGGTTGGAGTCCCACTCTGTGCCGACATTTTCTTCCAGAATAATCTAAATTAAGCCACCTACTTTTAGCCAAATTACTTAATTGGCCTTAGTTTAGCACAATAAGAATCCAGTGTTTTTTAAAAGTAGCATTTGATCTAATAGCATTGCATTGATGATGTAATGGAAATTAAGATAAAAAGGCATTTTAAAACATGGTTCAGCATTTTCCAACTTGTATAGGTACTTCCAGGAAGTATGCAGGGAAAGTTTCATAACTGCTATCAACCATAAAGTTACACCAGTAATTTTTTTTCTAGTTAAAAAAATTTATACAAGAGTCTAGAAGCAGTTAACTTTAAAAGAAAAATATTTTAAGTCTTCTGTAACTTCTAATTTATTTTTTATATTGCTAAACTTTATTAGTAGAATTAGTACAATAATACTTTAAATTGCAAATTTAAAGTACTATTACACTAATCTTTATTTAAATTTCTTTAAATAAAAAAGAAAAAAAATTAGATGAACTGTTAAAAACTATTTGACAGTAAAAAGTTTGCATTTTTGGACATTCAAAAAGTTCCTGCAGATGATTTCTATTTTCAGGGAAGGTGTATGGGACTGAAAGGTTAAGAACTATTGACAGTTGATGTTATAGGACAAAGTCAACTTATACCAGTATAATAGCAGTATTTGATATTACTGTTTGTAAATTTCAATAATTTCTAATAAGTTAACCTTTCAACAGTGGGATAGTCAGGTATGGTGCTATCCCAGGGGAGCCACCAGTTTTTGCCTCCGGGACAAATTGGAAAGAAAACTTTTTCACAGGCTGAACCAGAGGCTGCCCTAAGATTTTGAGATGGTGCAAGATCTCACTGTGGTGTCACCCCGTAGAAATTAAATTATACAGAGAGATTACAGATACAGTCGACCCCCATATAATTACGGTCCCTATAAAACTACTAAAAAATATACGTATTTTGGAAATGTTGAGTCGGATTAGTGTAGAATCGATTAATTTTATGGAAGAAAACCTTTCAATCAGCCGTAGTCCGTAAACTTCACACATGTCGGGCTGTGATTGGAATGACTTGTAAGAAATCGGATTCCTAATAAATTGGAACGTATCTATATCTTATAGGGGGGGGTCGACTGTACATTTTTCACATTATCATGTTTTATCAGCATTCTACGCTGTACTTACGAGATTTGTAATGGAGGGTTAACTCTAAGCATGCAGTGAATTGTTGACCTTTGTTTTTTTAGGAGTTAGAATTTTCATCAAGCTATTTGGACTTCAGTAGCTAATATTGAAAGATTAATCGTGGGCTGCATAAATTCATTAGACGGGCCGGATCCGGCCCATGGGCCATATGTTGGCCATGCCTGTGCTATCCCAATGTAGTGGAGAATAAACGTGGGAAATTTTTGAAGTATTTTTCCACACGTTTTTTTTCTCATTACCATTTCAGAAAAACATTTTGTAAACAGTTATGTCTAGTAAAGAAAAGTCTTTTTTTATTGTTACATAATTCATTTTTATGCAAATTTTTTTTTTGGTGGTAGTTTTCGGTGATACCCCAAAAGAATTTAATGAACGAATTTTATCCATCCCTCCTCACTGCCACACGATTGCCCTGGACGGATATATCTGTCCCTCACTGTCGAGTGCTAACTTGAGATTAGGATCCAGAGAATTTTTTCATCTGATTGTGTACACTTTCTTTTGCATTTTCAAGGAAATGAGAATTATTATTGCCAAGGTCAAAATCGGTATTGCATGGAATTATGCTCATGCTTGTGAGACAAAATAAAATTTTTAACTGATGTTTTGCACCTAAAGTAATAACCTTATTCTTAAACAAATTGACCAATCAAATTTAGTACTTTTAATTAAAAGTCATCAGTTTTAAATTGTTAGCTGTTTATTTTTTTAATTCATTGTTTTTATAAAACGTCACTAAACGATTGTATAAATAATCAGGCTATAACTCAGCTAATTTAATAATTAAATTATGTAACTTGCTACTAGAGGTAGACGTTAGGTGAGTAGACATTTAGAACCATCAGTGGAAAAAAAATTATTTTCTTCCAGATGGTTCTAAATTATTTAATAAATTAAAAATTATAATTATTAATTAAGAGATGGCACCTAACATCTACCTCTAGTAGCAAATTACTTATTAATTATTAAATTAGCAGAGTTATAGCCCAATTATTTAGGCGATCATTTGGTGATGTTTCTATATACATATTAGGCTTTGCAATGTTTGTTATACTTTTATAAAACAAAATATTACAAATTTACTTCTTATATTCATAGTTTTTGAAACATGAATGTAATGAGAATCATTTAGAGAGACCTGCTAAGTTTTAAGTTAACACAATAAGAGGTTTCAAGCAAAATAAAAATTAGAAATATTTGCTATTTAACAGGTTGCTGCATGTTGCAAATGAAATAAAATAATAAAATTTATTTCTGTTTCCCTAAAAAATCTATTATAATTTAATTTAATTAAATTAAGCTCTTCCATAATCACACTTCTTGCCAACAACATAAAAGTTTATCTATTCCATTAAAAAAGTTTGAATTCCCCAAAGGTGTTTTTAAACCACTTCATACCAAAGAAAATATTCAGCAATGAAGTAGTCTAAATCAGTGACTCGTGAGTCTTCTAATAGTTGTAGAAATGCCAAGGATATTTAGCTGGTGGTTGCATAACTGTTTATTACATTAACAATAATAACGATAAACAGTAGAATGCCAATTATCCGAACCACCACGCTCATTCCTTCATTTATGCAAAAGTGAGAAATGCACACAATGTCACAATTGCAAATTCTAATGTAAGAAGTTCATTTTCATGCATTTTTCACTCTTCTTGCATTTACATAAATGCAGCCTTACAGCAAAGACTTGAATATATGCCATTCTCAGGTGAAACCAAAACTAAGGAATTTCTGGTTTTGTTTTTGAATGCATCAGATCTGAATTGGTTAACTAAAATTAGCAAAAGGGGTCATTGTCCTTTGCTATATCTGTATATTTTGATCTGTTCTTTACTCAGTCTCTTTATTTTTTGTAGAACATAACTGTAGGCTAATAAATGCTAATTGGTCAGCCAGTTTGGTAATTAAATGTGGGAGACATTTATTACAAGATATATGGCATGTGTCTCTTAAAAAAATTAAGAGAGAGGAAAAAGTCTATATATATCTACCTTTCTTTCTAATGAGTTATCTTCTTAAATTTTGCAAATTAAAATTTTTTCTAATTAATAATTTTAACCAATTAAAAAGTTTCCAGAGTTGCAAAATTATTAAAGCTTAAAACAAGACATTTCATTAAATAAAAAATCCAAAAATGCCTAACTTTTCTGATGAACACACAACAACGTAATAGAACAAAAAAATACATAGGGTTTATAGGAATAAATCTCATTTTGATTTCTAAACTTCAAGTAATCTAATGTTTGCAAATTATTAATATACATGTAAAAATTGGAAATGTATTAAAATTAAATAGTAAACAACTGATATACTATTCCAGAACAGACATTTGGATAGCTGAGATTACAGAGGTATTTGCTTCCTACTCCTTGAGACTCAAGTTTGAGTCAAGAACCACAAAAATTTTGGTTCTTGACTTAAACTTCAATTATATCAAGGATATTTCATATCTCATCTCTCACCATCCAGACATACGCAATACTGGCCTAACCAAACACGAGTTGGCAAATGTGGCCAAGCAGTAGGATATCATGTCTATTGCCTGATAATTTGTTTCTTGCACAATTTTTCATGAATTTATTGGAGGATGTGTACAATATTCATCTGCATTTATGATTTCACATGATTTTAAGAATGCATAATACCAACTGCATACTACTAAACTGCACTATAATCTTTGAGTGAGGACCGATACATATTTCAGTGTATCACTGTTATCAAGCATTGAATGATGTCAAACTATTCACTTTTCATCATACAAAAATGTTGTGTGTAAGAGTAGAAGTTTACACTTTGCATTCTGTTAAGTCTAAGGAAAGAATTCAATACTTTTAATTCGTGCATATTGTTCTTTTCTATTAATTCAGCAGTACCTATTTTTCAATGGATGCTAAATGCTGGGAAACATATAATGTAACCCTAGGTTTTCTCTGCAACGTCTCTTACAGTTTGCTATACATCACATTCAAGAAATGACTATTTCAAAGTTAACTACAGCATATTTTGATTGGTTACATGGGCCATTTCTCCAAATTGAAATTTTGTGAACTAGCACCACATTATCCATTCACTAGTTGTATCTTCCGAAAATGCCTTAATGTTGAAGTGCTTCCATTGCATTGTGTCCAAGTTTAAAAATTCATAATGAAATTGTCCTGAAAATTTAATTCTAATTTTGTTGTTCTTAAGTTTACATATAAATTCAATTATTAAAAACCAATGGGATCGGTATAAATATTAACACACTAAAAATAAATTTTTTAGTTAAAAACAAGTAAAATTATACTCTTTCTATTTCTGATTTCGAGGATTCTATGAGCCAAAAAATGACAAATAAATGGCAAGGAACAATCATTATTTTATTAATACGATCCAAATGCATTTCGCCATCAGGCCTCTAAACGCTGCTGGTACATATTGCTCTCTTAAAAAGCACTTAAAATAATTTCTATCCATCAACAATCTGTCCATTTGATGCTTCAAATCCTCTATCCCCATCTTTAAATTTACAATGTATAAATATAAATCATTTTTCGTTTTTTGGCTCATAGAATCCTCGAAGTTGAAAATAGAAAAAGTGTAATTTTACTTGTTTTTAACTAAAAATTTATTTTTAGCGTGTTCTTAAGTTTGTTGTTATATAATTTTAAATTAATTTTAATGAGAATATAAACAGTTCATTAAGTACAGATTAAGATTTTAAGTTACATAACTAGTGGCATTTGTTTTTTTTTTTTTATGAATTAAAATTAAGAAAATAGTGTGCAAATTTGCCATTTTGTATGCAGAAACCTGATACTAAATCTACAGTTTATAAGAGTAAATTTAATTGCCTTTTCAAAGACAGTAATAAAACTTTTTCTACCAAAGCAGTAGTATGCATGTATGAAAATATATTAACAAAACTACAAAGTTACTTTAAAAAGTTTCTTACCTTAATTCCAATATCGCCATTGGGAAGTTCAATCACTTGATATGGTAGATATGTTATTTCAGTCTGTACTGCTGGGTCCCTGAATTTTCTACCAATTAACCTCTTGAATCCAAAGACTGTATTTTTGGGATTTGTCACCTGTTTGCTCTTAGCTGAAACACCCAAATCACGATTTTTCTCGCCAAAGCCAACATAGGACCTAATTTTAAATAGAGTAATGAGTTTGATATAAATGTATGAACTATGTGGCAGAAAGGTGTTTGGGACTATCACCGAACTTTATGACTTAACCTAACTGGTACTTAAGGCAGGTTCACGGTTAGTATGCCAGGCCTGGGCTTATGCATGCACCATAAATAACTATGTACAAAGTCAGTATGAACAAGGAATCTTAGAAACTATAATCCTATCCGTCACCTCAATAATAGGAACTTTTTTTCCTTCATCCTATTTCCTTCTAATCACTATTCTGACTTGCTTCCAATCTCACTCTGGAACTAACCTCGATCTTTCTCTGGAATTCACCTCACTCTATCCCTGTCTGGGGATCACCTTGCTTGTCTTCTCTGCTTGTGCTTGTTTTATACTCTGAGGTAATGTCACAATTATCTCTGGAACCACTCCCATCATTTAAATACTTTTAACAATAAATTTGCATGTCATTTCCTGGGCAGCCTAGTTTCCAACATTAAATCCTTTTACAATTATTCTTTTACATTATTCTTTTTATTACATATTTGGGATACTTATTTTATCAAGGTTTAGCAAGTTCTTTACTTTGTGCGTGTGGGGTGTTTCCCCCTTCTTTCTGTGAAACTTCTTTCAAACTTCCGCCGGGAGCACAAGTGTGCCTTAGTTTCCCTACAGCGCTTTGTCTAGTCAGTGAGTTTGTTTTTCCTTCATCTCTTTTTCTTTTTCGTTACTAAGGTGAGTGGTGAGGGAACCTTCATCCTAACTAAGCATAAACCCCAAACAAAATAGAATAAAAAGCAAAATAAAAATTAAATAATAATACAGCTCAAATTCAGTTCCTTACACCGCTACTATTGGCACTCTTCTGCCACACCCAAGTTTCACTACCATACATAAACACTGAAGCAACAACACACCCCCATATAGTCATTTGTACACATTTGGACATCTTTTTATCCCATGCAAATTTGCTCATTGCACCCATCACCTATGCTCCAGCATTCACCTTCTGGTGATTTCACCATCTATCCTTTCATTCCTATCTATCAAGCTTCCCAAATATACAATCTCATTTGCTTGTTCCAGTTGTTCACTACCCAACTCAATCATATAATCTGTGTGTTTGAATGCAGAGATAAGATTAATCATTTCAGTTTTACTCACTATCCAGCATGTATTCCTTACATGCCTCTTCAAGATTAGACACAAGTGTCTAGAGCAAACATGCAAAATCAACAAAATCAAACTTTTATATTTTTATTTCATACTCCAGTGATTACTAGAAACCGGTGCCAATCTACTCCAATTGTATTACTGTACGACAAATTTTTTTTTATTAATAGCAATGGATTTAAATAATAATCAGTATAGTTATTTAAATCCATTGCATTTAAAAAAAAATAAAATTTGCTTTATATTCAAAAATGAAGGCGAGATTTGAAAACAAAATTGACCTCAATTTTCAGGTTTACAAAAACAAATTAGTCTTCATTTGAAAAGTTGATTTCAATATTTCTACTTAAAAACATCCTTAGTAAATATTTACTCAAGCTGTTACAGATGGAGTGAATGAAATTTAAATAACAATTTTAGTTTAAAATCTGATTTTCTAAAATTATTTCAGTAATACTGTTAAAAATAATTTCAATTATTCTTCTGAAAATCTTTGTTAATTAATGAAAACAAAACTACAATTCTCAGTAAATTTACCTATGAAAACATAGCNTTAGCTATAATGTAATTATCTTAATCTTCACTATCGTTACTTTTTGCCCAGCGAAGCGGGTCCTTGCAGCTAGATTCTAGATTACTTAGAAAAACAGTCTTTTATATATAAAAAAAACTATATTACACACAAATAAAAACCCAGCAAAGCGGGTCCTTGCAGCTAGTATGTATATATATATATATATTTTCTTAAGGGGCGGCAATTTGTCTTTTTGTCCAGGGTGACGTAACCGCTAGAGCGGGCCCTGGATGTATGCTTATTAAATCCTGGATAATTCGTATGTCTTGAGAAACAAACAGAGAAAAAAAAGTTTATTCAAGCAATGTAAACTAATTATATAAAATTATCAGCTTTGGACTTTTTACTTAAAGAAAGATGTGTTAAACAGATGGTTTACTAATTAGAAAGTTCAATATTAACCCTTCAAAATTTAAATGTAATGAGGCTTCTCGGCAATTTGTAAGGAGTAAAAATGTATGAAAAAAAAAAAAATGCAACAATCTCTTGAAGTATGTCCTACGACATGTTCAATAGTAAAGCAGAATCGTTTTACATACAAGAAAATGAAATTTATTCCAAGCTATTCTCTTCGGATCTATTCTTCAAAACTTGAAAATTAGAACACAAAGCCTATGATATTTCAGCAAATGATTTGAAACTGAAAATTATTTCATTTTACCCTTTACAAGATATTATAATGCACATATTCTGAAAAATTCCACATCTTTAAATTCCTCAAAAATGTTCAAGGTTCTTATAATTTCTGTATATAAATAAATTCATTTTATATCACTAGAAATAAACCACTGTTGGATTTTAAAGGCCATTTTCACTTCTTTAATTAATTTATCATCAATACAAACTACTGTTTTTGATGGCCTTTTGTTATCCTATGCCAAAATGCATTCTTGAGAATATTATATATAATCACATCTATACACACTGTAAACTATATGACTTACTTCTGACTCCAAACCAAAACAGTGCTCAGTTCAATATATCTTCACTAACGTTTTCGAACTTAGTTCTTCTTCAGGTAAATAAAAGAAAACGGGCAGAACTGATGTTATTCGAACATATCTTTTTCAAATGCATGAGCATGCGCAAATTAAGACGACGATTGCATGGATTTCCTTAGAATACTGCTTTTCAGAATTCGTTTGAAAAAGATATGTTCAAATAACATCAATTCTGCCTGTTTTCTTTTATTTACCTGAAGAAGAACTAAGTTCGAAAATGTTAGTGAAGATATATTGAACTAAGCACTGTTTTGGTTTGGAGTCAGAAGTCATTATATATATAATTTTTTATATACTGTTTATTAAAAAAAAAAAAAAATCACACCTTTAAAAATCCAACAATGAAATTTACTAAGTAATAACATTTTCAATCTGCTTCACTGACCATCTTCAGTTACAATAGAGTGTGAATACAAAAATTTTAAAAACGATAACAAGAATTCTAAAATAAATAAAAAATAAAAAGTAAAATAAACTAATAAATATCCTTTAATAAAATATTAAATTTCATAAAAAGATCGCCTTGCGGTAGACAAGCTGTCTGCATCTCTATGGTTAATTCAAGTGGATTTTTTGTGCACTTTAAAAATGTCTAGGACTATACTGTAGTTCTAATGCATCATTCTTAATAATGATGATGTGTTTAGACAAGCCATAAATGACAACCATCTGCACACACTTGAGAAATGCTATGGGCAGTCCCACATCACCAATTCTTTGTGAACTGGTAGTGTGACAATTAGAAAATCATTTTACCCAAATTCCAACACTTCATTATCTTATATGCAAGATATGTTGATGACACTTCATCTTGTGGCAGAGAAAATCAAACCTGCAGCAGTTTTTAAAAGTACTCAATGATAACCGCTACGAATAACTCCTACAATTAGACCAGGAGAGTGAAACAACAGTAATACATTTCCATCTCCTGCAAATATAGTGAAATTTGGACCAAGATATACAGGAAAACAAGTTTTCAACCTATTTTAATTTCACATAAGTGCTGATCCCCAGGACATCAAATTCACAGCCTTTAGATCATTGATAAGAAGGGCATATATACATTGTACCAGAATATGATACACAATAATGGAGCTGAATTACATCTTAAAGACCACAGAGCAATAGGGTTATCTGATAGAAATAATACAGAAATTGATCACAACCTTTCAAACACCAAAATGTCAGACTACGTCGTTAGACCAAAAACAAAGAATGATTTTAAATTATATCCCATCTTTAAGAAAGCAGCCAGACTTAATAATGTTACAGTTGTATATCAACACAACCGATGATCTTCAGAATTTTAAGGAATGATAAGAAACAATATAACCATAATTTGACCGCGGGGATTTACTCCATCCCACTTCAAATCAAAACTGGTCTACGTGAGTGCCACTATGCGTAATTTACAACAACCCAAAGGACATAAATATACAATTGATAAAAATTTTGATAATGCTGGCAGCTTACTTGCAACATCAGGACATACAAGTACAATGGGAGCAGGCATCCATCATCAAACCCACATCTAATATACACACCGAGATATCTAAAAAAATTGGAAATTTTAAAGTGCATAAAAAAATCTGGTTGTATCAACCGTAGAGATGCGGACAGTTTTTGTACCACATGGCGGTCCTTTTATGAAATTTAATTTTATTAAAAAGGACATTTATTCATTTATTTTTACTTTTTATTTTATTTCCGTAGTTATTTTATTAATCTCAACTATGATTTCTGTTATTTATTTATTTTAGAATTTTTGTTATATATATATTTTTTAAATATTCACGTTCTATAAATAAATAATTACCTAAAACCAGCAATAATTCTCTTCAAAACAAATGTTTTCTTCCATTTTTAATGGTCATCATCAGGTTTCCATGAATTGGAATGCTTGTAAGAGAATGCCTATTCCAAAAATTTAAAAATTTCACATTCTATTCCATCATAACTGGAAAAGGCCAGTGAAGATGATTGAAAACATTATTTAGTAAACCTCACTGCTGGATTCTTTAAAGGTTTGATTTTTTGTAATCTATCTATCCAGTTGATACAATATATATGGATATACTATTTATAATAATTTTTCACTTTGAATCTCTCTCTCCAAATGATTGCAAGAAATGAATTAACTCAAAAGGCAGATAATGCTCACTTCTAGCAGTCACCAAGCTATTTTTTACATTTCAATTATCAATACATTAAAAATATTCATCAATAGATAAAAACAGCCATGCAACAATCAGTTTTATA